CCCGCGCAGCCGCCGCCGCTGCTGCCCGCGCGGCCATGATCGCCACCGCGGCGTGGCGCGGCCGGGCGGGGGCCGGAGGAAAACAATACCCCCCACTTTTTTTAGTCCGCGGCCCCTCCTGTGCGCATCCACGCGGCCCGCCGGGAAGCGCCGACCCCTCCCCCTCCGCTGGCCCGCGGGAGCCGCGCCGGGGGCACGCCTTACGGTCTGGGCCTGCTCCCGCTGTGTGCTTTCATGGTGAAAGTTTTTGGTTCAGGTTTAAATGAAACTTTTTTCTCTTTTCCTCTCTAACCCGGATATGGGTAAATACACGACTAGCTGAGCCTATCGGGCCCAGCATGGCCTGAGAGGGAGCCGTGCGAGCTATTATCCACTTCTCGCTGATGAGCCCTGCGCACTCGCAAAACGCGGACTGGACTCGGCCCCGGGCGTCCTTGCAGCCTCGCGGGGATCCACCGGCCGGGCGGCAGCCCCTAGACGGCGGCGTGGCGCGGGCGCGGGCTGCGCTGTCCCCTCGTGCCGCTGTCTTCTTCCCAACCGGCATACGTGTGTTTGTTTTCACGTCTAAAAGGAGCGATACAAAGGTGGAAAACGAGTCTGACGAGCAGACAAAAGAGAGAAGGGCTGGGGAACAAAGTTGTCTGTTAGCCTCTGAGGTGCGAGGAGCCAGCGGATAAAGAAACTATTGAGGCACTCTGCAGAAACACGGTCCTTCCCAGGAGTTATGTAATTTCTTCAGAACTTTGGCCTCTCTGCTTTGATTTCGGGCCTCAGCGTAATTCCCACAACTTCTTCCAACTGCAAAATTAGGAAAGACAAGTGAAGGTTAGCATTCAAAGAGTGCTGTGCCTTATACACAGCAGGTGCTCACTAAGTGTTTATGATTGACTATAGTAGCCCCAAAGATAATGTTTATGTAATTCCTTTTTAGGGTATCTTAAATAGGTATGAAAACCCATAGTATTCCCAAAGGGGCATTTTTCCTACAATGAACTTCCTTGTCTTCTCTCAATCTCAAATATGTGAGGTGGCGAGTTATGATCCAACTTTCACGTGAACAATTTAACCATTGATGCCAGAATAGCGACAGTTAAGGTTTATCTCTTGTCTTCATAAATCTATTTGACACCTTTCATCATATTTCAGAGGTTAATGTGTGCAGTTAACCCTCCATATGAGTTCATTGCTAAGTAATGTGAAACAAAACCAAAGTAAACAGACAATGTATTTAACAAAGATCAATAATATGAAACAGTCGAATCAAATCCTAAAGCAGATATATTCCATACTTTGTTTTCAAAAAAAGTATCTTTTTATCACTCTTAAGTGTTCTAAATGTCTCTATTATGAGTGTACCACCTAGTAAAATTTTGAATGTCTTTGATAGCACCTCTTCTTAACCTAAGCAGTAGCTGGATTGTACTACTGTTGACTCAGTTGTCATTGAGAGAAAGCATTTGAAACCAGAGCTTCCCAGAGGTCACGCTGGCAGAAATTAACAAGAGGTTTGTGGACAGTGTCATTTTCCAACATTATTTAATTCATTTTTTCCTAAAAATTAGTTTATTTCAGTTTCTGTGATTGTCTTTGCTAGACCAAGTGTAGATATGTCACATGACTAAATAGAAAACGATAGATTAAAAAAGTGACTAATTGGTGAGGGGGAATCAGGTGCACACCCAAGGGTCATTATAGAGTATAGAAACAACACATTGCAATTTGATGCAAACAACTGGAAAACGAGGTATATCATCATGAGAGAATAACAAAACCTAAGATGAATTCACACCAAATCATTCATCAGTTTTCACCAGGAGAATACTACATCTTTGTTACTGTGCCTTTGACATTTTTTCCTGGATTTTTCTCTCTATATATTCAAATATGTACTAATTATACAGTTGCACCACATAAATTGAATTTTTAAAGTTTTTCATATGCAAATATAAATGTCTTTTGTGTGTCTATATAGTACAAATATTCTAAAATCAATTAGATATTAATGCTTTTGGATATTGATAGTCAACTAAATATATACATGTAATCATAAAAATGTATTTTAAATTGATAAAATATATCAAAGTCAATTCATACAAGTATAGCCATATGTTGTGACTTATTCTCACAAGTAATTCTAAATGGGAAAATAAGTCACCAAGTTTAGCTCAGGCTCTTTGCTTAGAAATATTTTTCCATGTCAGAAAATCATGAAACTAAAAGAAAAACAAGTTACCATAAGCTGAAATTTTAATTCCATTTGCTTCACCAAGTCAACTAGAAGACTGGAACCAGGAGGCAATAAACAGGGCCCCCCCCAGTACAATGAAATCAGTCTGCTATAAAAGGCGACACATGCCAGTTTTTCCTCCCCAATGGCAGATGCCACACCCTAAAGCAGACAGAAGGCAATGCAGCTTGTAAGAGAAGCACAACACAAAGCCACCAGGACTTAGTTGTCTCTTAAACCACAGGGAATGAAAACACCTTTTTAAAAGTATCTTTGCTGAAGATAAAATAGTAGACTCATTCAACTTTTCAAACATACTTTCTCAAGAAAACAAAATAAAAGCTTTAGTTTCATTTAAAAATCCACAGTTTAATAAACAAAATGGCAATTGTCAGAGAATCTGTTCCAAAGTAATGAAATCGGCCCACATTTCACAAAAACACAATTTCATCTATTACTTATAATTTTTATCATGTCCCTTGCCTCAATTCTATATGACAGTTCAATCTTACTGTTTTGTTTTGATGAAGTAATAGAAATCATTGTTCATTTTTCTTAATGAGTTCCTTATTCTTACACTTCTTGCATAAATTTCAAACCACAACGACAGCTTTAACAAGTTGCTGTAATCACAAGGAAGTCATGGAGATGCTGGCCAAAAGCTGCCTACATTAGGCCTTGGCTACTCTGCACCCGAGATGCAAACCTCCCACCCACAGGGTACTCCCCATACCTTCCTGTGTAGCGGAGGATTACCCAGTGTTTTGTTAAACATTCCTTTTTGGTTACAAAAGGTTTTCTTTCTCTTTTCCCTACTATGTGGAAATATTAATATTCAAATACTGCTCCTTTTGAATAAGTTTTAGGGCACTGAATAAAAGGCTCTTCAACTTGCCCACTGAAAGAGGATTGAGCCAGATGGCAGTTTAAGAATTCTACAGTTCTGTTATTTTGCCTTGTCGTGGCCCATCATACTCTGTTTGCTTTCAGATTAGTCCCCTTTTACTATTCTACTTATTTACTCGATGACTGAAGCTATCACGATTCACTGCCCATCATATTTCTCAGTATTCTTTAAGTAATTTGGAAG